GAGACAAGAGATATTAAAATATGAAAGAGCAGTTTGGAGATAGATTGTGAGGCTCCAAGACTCATCCAGACTAATTTCCAGAAAAGAAAAATGTAAGGAATGGCACCAAAATTATACTTGAAGTGATAACATATGAGAATTTCCCAGGATGAAAGACATGAATCTTCATTCTGAAAGTGTATCTGAGGACTAAATAGATAAATAGAAACAAATCTACACCTAAACATACCATAATGAAACTTTAGAATGTCACAAATAAAAGTCCATCCCAGGATTTCTGGTTAAACGTGGTGGATTAAGCATGTATATTTACTGATCTTCCCTCTCAGAACTCCACAAAAATTAGAGTCAGGATTTTAAAAATCATAAACACACAAAGAGAAAGAGAATAGGAAAGAGAAATAAAAACCCAACAGACCAGAGAAATCAACAAAATTTTGGAAGGTGGAAAGCAGATGAATGTCAACTAATTAGACCAGAGAAAGCTGAAACATAAGTGTCTGTGTGTGTGTAGGGCTGGGGTGAGAGTTGGAAGAAAAGATTGAAGAAATCTCCCAAAGCATAAAACAAGACCAAGAGATTGTAAATGTTGATTAAAGATAAAGAAATAAAGTATCAAAGAAATAACTCAAGAAAGTTTCCCAGAATAAGGGATAAAAGTTTCCAGGCTAAAAGGCTGAAAACCTGGCACATTGGCTGAAACACTATCTATATCAAGGCACATACTTGTGAAATACAAGAACATAAGAAACAACAACAACAAAATGATCTCAAAGGCTTTAAGAAAGGAAAACCAGATTGCAATCAAAGCCCTGGGAACCACAATGTAACTTCTCAAGAACAGGACTTGAAGCTAGAAATCAATGAGGAAACATTATCAAATTCTGGGGAGAAATGATTTCTAATCTAAAAGCCTACATCTAACCAAAGTAAAAAAATCAGGATTGAGAGTATACTAAAGATAGTTTCAGATATGCAAGTTCTCAGCAACAAAAAAAGTAGCTCCTGTGTGGCCTTTCACATGAAGCCTCTGGAGGATATAATCTACCAAAATGAGGAAGCAAAAAAAGAAAAAAGAAAAGAAGTTGAAGGAAGTTCCAACAGACAGAAAAAAGAAGATTCAATACAACGAAGATAAAAAAGAGAATATCTAGAATGGTGGGTGATGGGCGGTGATGGTGGTGATGAAAAATTTCATGGAAGAGCTATGTCTCAGGCTCAGAGACTATATTCCAGGGTCAAGAAGAGAGATGAAAGATTCTTGGGAAGAATACCTCCAAGAAGAAATGGAGAAGAGAAAAAAAGAAGAAAGGAAAGGAGAAGAGAGGGAGGGTTGGAATGTGGTGTATTTGAATTAAGATGAAACTTACAATCTATCTGAAAGTCAGGGAAAAGGGTAAAAATAAAATTTCTAGACAAAAACAATAAGTAGGAGATTGGTTTACAATGGATAAATAAGCATTCTAAAGGCTACGTTGTACAAAAGAAGAGATCAGAATTACTGAGTAACTTTAGATCTTGTTGGAAAATATATACTTAACATATTTTAACATATTAAGGGTAACCACTAAAATATTAGAAAACAATCTGTACCTATCAAACAAGCAGAAAGATAGAGAAAACTCTCAATCAAACAGAAGAAGAGGGTGCTCAGCTGGCTCAGTCAGTAGATCATGTTACACTTGATCTTGGGGTCATGAGTTCAAGTCCCATGTTGACCCCAGATCTTAGTTAAAAACAAACAAACAAACAAAAACAAAAAATCAGAAGTAGGAAAATTATTTTTAAGAACATAAATTAAAAGCTAATAAACAGGTATGGCTGCTCTAGAAAACAGAATGGAGGCTCCTCAAAAAGTTAAAAATAGAGTTACTCAGCTAGTACTGGCAACTGCACTACTAAATATTTATCCAAAGTATATAAACATAGTGATTTGAAGAGGGCATATGTACCCCAACATTTAAAACAGCAATGTCCACAATAGCCTAAATATGGAAAGAGCCCAGATGTCCATCAACAGATAAATGGATAAAGAAGATGTGGTATGTGTATGTGTGTGTGTATGTACACAATGTTGAAGGAACTAGAGGCTATTATGTTAAATAAAATAAGTCAGTCAGAGAAAGACAAATACCATATGATTTCACTAATATATGGAATTTAGAAACAAAATAAATGAACATAGGAGGAGGAAAGGAAAAATAAAATAAAATGAAAACAGAGAGGGAAGCAAACTATAAGAGACTCTTAACTATAGCAAACAAACTGAGGGTCACAGGGGGGTGGGGGAAGGATAATTGGGTGATGGGCATTAAGAAGGGAACTTAATGGAATGAACACTGGGTGTTGCATGTAACTGATAAATCACTAAATTCTATCTCTGAAACTAAAAATACAGTATATGTTAACTAAATTGGATTTTAAAGAGCTAATAAATAAAATGATAAAAGTCCAAATATGTCTGAAATCACAATAAATATAAATGGATTAAAATCACATTGTGAAACAGAGATGATCAAATTGAAATTAATCATATATATATATGTATATATATATATATATATGAATGAATTTGTTTACAAGAGACAGAGGCTTGGTGTACAACAGTGTGATCTGACTTTAAAAGATGAGCTGTCCAGATTATCTTTCTCAGAAAGAATAAAGAAGGGAGACTCAGGTGGCAGTAAGTGCCAGAGCTAGGAGTTAACAAAGAAATGGGACCAGAGCAGACTTCATGGCATGTGCGTGAGACAAAGAGCTATGAGTAAACAAAAGAAATCATTTCATAGAAGGAGAGGTGAATAGGCAAACACATGAAGAGAAGGGAAGGCTTCTGTGAGAGCCAGGTAGTTCTGTCCCTCGAAGATTTCTGGGATACCTGAATGTACTCAGTTCCTTCCCCTGGAATCCTGCCAGAACTCCCTGTATCCTAGAAGAGGAAAAACTATTCATATGAACTAGACTTCTTAGTGGGTTATTCTTTCGACCCACAGTGCTGACTAGAACATGTAATAGCAGTATGGCTAATGGTTACTGAGTGATCACTTGATCACAACAAGAGCCCCTCATGGATTATTTATTTAATAGTAACCATGAGGTAGCTACTATTCTTATCTCCATTTTGTATACTAGTAAATTCAGGCCTAGAGAGATTTTACAGCTAGTTACTAATGACCCAAGACATGAAAGCAGGCAGTTTCACTCCAGAACCATCTTGACCATGACATATGGTTTCCAGAGGAAGGATTACTCTGCATTGCTCCAGGTGGCTAATGACAACCAAAAATTAGCCTACCTCTAGAAGAAGTGACTCCTCCATCAATTTAAGTATTCAACAGAGGCTAAGTGAATGTTTAATAAGGATAATTTACAAAGGATTCCTTCCAAGGAAAGGAAATCAAATGATTTCTATGACCTCTTCTAAAGCCATTATTCTTTGAATTTTAGCACAATGATCCACTACAGCACTGTGCAATAGAACTTTCTGTGATAGCAAAAATATCCTATAATCTGTGTTTTCTGTTAAGGTGGCCACTACATCTGTGATTATTGAACACTTAAAATAAGGCCAGTGCAACTGAGGAAATGGATGTTTAGCTCTACTTAGCTTTCATTAATTTAAATTTATGGAAAGCACATGGGCTAGTCATTGCTGTACTAGACAGCCCAAGTCTGTAAGCATTTAGATACAATGGTAAAACAGACTGTTAAATAAAACTGGACAGCCCAGGGCTTACTTTTATGCACCATGCAAATATGGCCTTGCCCAACACCTCAGTGCCGTGGCTCTGGGCTGAATCAGAGGCAAAGACACTTCCTGATGAGTCATTAGCATCATATCCTGGAGGCTGGCCCACTTCAACAGCACCTCCCTGCTGTTTGGGGAACAACACACTGTATGCGTGTGTGCATATTTAGGTATGTATGTATTATATATGTATATATTGTGTGTGTATGCATGAATGTATGTATTTGTGTATGTGTGTGTGTGTGTATAGCATGGGTTGGGAGGGATACAGCAGATTGTTAGAATGCAGTGGGAATGAGATCATTAGCTTTTCTTTATGCATATCCATATTGCTTTACTTGTTACAACAAGTACACACACATATAAATTTTTTGCAAAACAAAAACTCAAATAAAATGAAGCTAAAGAAATATCCTTAAAATCCTATAACAGCTACCCTAGAAATGTTAGCAATATAGTTTACAAAAAGGTATACATCGAAATATTCAGTGAAAATTAACACCATATGTTATCAGTCTACACATTCAAGCATGAACACTGGCCTCAAAAGGTACAGAACAGAGAATGTTGTAAAAAGTCAGGAATGGAAATACAGTAAAGGAAGTTGTGTTTTGTTTTGTTTTTTTTTCAGTGTCTTTATTTTGAGGGGTTGCACTGTTGTTCTTAGTGTTGATGTACAGGACTTCTAACCCAAATCTTAAATCAGTAGAGTCTTAAATTGTTTTGAGGTTTACAAACTCCGGGAAGAAAAGCAATGCCCAAACCTGTAGTAACCTGTCCTCTAAGCCACAAGGGAGGGGCCTTGGGATGCAGGGGTTCCAGATTTCTGAGCTCAAAGAAATCAGCCCTTACAAACTGCTTAGCCTGAGGGGCTGAACATTCAGTGAGCAGTGCATCCTTTTAGGGTAAGCTGTGTAGTTTCTGGAGGCTGTTTAGAAAGATCTTGCCCCGAATCAGGTAGAGCAAGACACACCCTTATAAGTCTAGGGAATTAAAAAGGAGAGGATTCTGTGATTGTCCACGTTCCCTGCCCTGTCTAGAAAGTGCTCAAAGACAAACCATACTGTGCTCCGTGGTGCATACTGCCCAGCCACAGCCTGGATCAGAGAACTCAGTATACCTATAATTAACACCTCTGAGAAATCCTTCCAGGTTCCCCTGAATTTGAAGAAGCAGCTGCGGCCAAGGGTTTTCAGCAGACACAGACGGGGAGGTAGTAATAGCTTTGACAGTAAATAAAAGGCTGCCCCACCTCTCTCCCGCTGAGGTCCGCCATGACTGGGTGTGCGGGGGTGGGCTGCCTCACTGCCAAGGCTCTTGGCTCCCCATCAAGCAGGAAGTGTCTGGCCTCACAAGCCAGGGCACAGGGGAATCGGGTCACTGGCAAATGCTGGTAGAACAAGCAACTTCAACAACAACAACAACAACAAAATAACAACAATTACAACTGAGAACAAAACACAACATCAAAGTACATCCCCAAAGAACTCTCCCCGTTCCATTCACTCAGCGTTCCTTAAACAAACTCCTACCACGTGCCTACTGTGGGAATCGGGTGGTAAACTGTCATCTGTCTGAAGAATAAAAACGGAAAGGTCCATAAACCCAGATTCTATTTTAAGCCCTCCCGCTCATCAGATGCTCGACCTTGAAGGTATTACTTGGTCAAGCATCCGTATTTCCACAGGCTAGAGGGTGGGCGTCCCTCTACATGCCAACTACAGGGTTCAAAGCGTTCTGTGACTCTTGGATATAAGACAGTCAACAGCCTCAGAGAAAGACCACCATTAAACAACTATCCCATGCAACTTGCTGCGGTTGTGAAGCTGAGACCTCTCTCAAATCCTTGTACCAAAGGTCCCTGATTCAGAGGACCCCAATGATGGCCCACTGCCCCTACTAACTTTTCTTGGAGTAGTCCTGAGTCGGCGCACGGCTGGGTGACTGGCAGTTGCAGGGAGGAGGCCTCATAGTAGTCTCTGGGAAGCAGGACCAGGTAGTCCTAGGAAATGAAGACGAAGAGGACAATTACTCAGATGATGGTGGCCCTTCCTGAGTAATAAAACTATCAGGCATGGTTTGATTAGGTTGACGAGGTTAATAATAACCTGGGGAAGCTCGCTAAGTTAAACTGTCCCCAGCAGCTGCTTTGTTCCCCTCCTTGACTCCCCAAAACACACAAAGCAACTTGTCACAGGTGCTCCAAGCAGGGGAGATAAGCGTCTCATGGTGAACGTGTTTGTATTCACAACTCAGGCGGGAGATTTTACCCCCCTCTTCTGGACTGTGTATCCGTTCAAAAATAAACAAAGATAATAAACCCTCAACTGATAATCTGGTCCTTTGAAATACCGGTTGCTTTCATCACCACACATCGGAACACCGAATTGTGGATCGGGTATTTCAGCTTTTTATTCCCCCATCAAAGCAATGTTCGCCTGGCATGGTATTAAAAAAAAAAACCAAAAAAAAAAAAAAAAAAAAAAAACCCCGATGTTTTGTGATCCTGGTGAATCACAGGCTGAAACTGGCTGACTGCCTGTCCTAGGAGATGAGAGAAAGATTGTGTTCCACGGAATGTGCCAAATGAATCCCACAGCGTAAATTCAGCTAAACAGCTCTTCAGGAAAGAGCAGACCTCCAGGTTTCTCAGACGCCAATGGTCTGACAGCTTCAGAAGAATGCTGGCACCACTGGCTGTGAGCAGAGGGAAGGAGGGGGGATGTCTGCCACAACTGTGAAGAGACTCATACGCTGACCATAAAGCTATTTCTCTCGTCAGGGCCCTTAATTTGTCTATAACGGAGAAGAGACATGCATGGTGAGGAAAAGTGGGAGATGGTGGCCCAGGGGGCTCCGTGGTCTACCATGGGGGTCTCACTATCCCAGTGGGCTTTAATTTAACAGTGGTTATTATTCTCTTACTGAGGTTCCTCAGGTTGGGACCATAGCTCCTCATTGTTTTATTGTCCCATAGATCTTAGAACAGTAAGGGATGATAGTAGGTGTTCAATAAGATATCTCTAGAGAAAACAGGATCATAACATGGAAGCATATATATGAGTCGCTATACCACGGCACTAACTAAATGTCATCAAGCATCTTCCATGCCTGTGGAGTAACATAATGACCTTCTTTCCATGAATCCAACTTTGTACCCATTATTGGCACCAATGGGATTTTCCTTGTCCTCATTTCTAAAGTCTTTGAAGAACTCTAAAACTTTTGTAAAGCAACAAAGTTTTCTACCAAGAAGATGCAAGAAAAAAAGGGACTGAACGAATAGCACAAACTGTCACATTATTCTCATAAGATCCCAGATTTGGAAAGGACCTAGATAAACACATCCTTATTACAAGTAAGAGGTAACTGGGGCAGTCTTGGAGTTAAAGAACTTGCCTAAGATCTGCTAATGTAGCAAATCAAAAGGATTGTGCCAGAAGGAAAAGCTTGCTCTTTTCCACTCTGACTGGCTGAAACCAAGCTTTGGCCAAAGACTTTATTTTCAGAAGACTTTTTATAAGACATCAATATCTCAGATAGCAATTTCATCCCTTTATTTCCCACAGCTTCTCTGGCTATTCTACTAGCATGCAAGGACAGAGCTTTGCCCTTGATGCTGGGTTCTTTGTCCAAGGCCATCTGTGTGGTGAGACCATTGCCTATGTTTGAGGTAGAAGAAGGTGGGGAATATAAGAGAAGCACAGGTCCTCCCTTCTCTTTCCGCCACCACCAACTTCACTGATATTAGGATCTGCTCTTCTTGTAGCTTCTTCTGATTCATTCCACATGATTCCCAGAGAGGCTGATTTTCTAAGATGTCCTTCTGATTCATAATGAAAAATCCCAAAGAAGCTTTTGAAGGGTGGGGACATATACACATTCAGATTTTACATTTATTCTGGTAACTTTGAGTCATTATGAGTTATAGTTGGTTTGGTTGTTTTTGTCGGAGAGAAGCTGGCTGAAGAATATAAAAGATATTTTAGGGGTGCCTGGGGGGCTCTGTCGGTTAAACCTCTGCCTTCGGCTCAGGTCATGATCTCAGGGTCCTGGGATGGAGCCCCACATCGGGCTCCCTGCTCAGCGGGAAGCCTGCTTCTCCTCCCACCCCCTCGTGCTCGCTCTCTCTCTCTCTCTCTCTCTCTCAAATAATACTTTTTTAAAAAGATATTTTAAGTTGGCTTCTAGGTCATTTGAGGGCAAATGTCATCATAGTTTCCTATGTCTAAAAGGGGAACTGCCTGTGATTTTGTTATCTTATGGTCACTGTGGGTCAGTGTGGGTGGGACCATGCTGGAGGACGGGGAAAGAATCCCACAGAACTCTCCGTGGAGGTGGGTCTCTTACCAGGAGGACTCCCTCTGATTTGATACAAGCAATCCATGTCCCTGGTGTAATTGAAAATTGTTCTGCCACACCATTTCCTGGGACGGTGACAAAGGCTGGCTCCTTTCTCGGCAGGAAGATGACTTCTTTGCTTTGAGCAGCTCCTATCAGAAATAAAAAGAACCACCTGAGGCGCTTGTCTAGCAGTGACTGTTGGGATTTCGGATACTCAGCTTTAAACATTTCATTTACATCTGAGAAAGTTTAAGGTGGTTGCTCATCACCTTACTGATCAGATTTATTGATTTTTTAAAAATGGTAGGCTTGCATCACATATGTATAAAACAGACTAGAAAGATATTGATGTGGACAGTGATTAGGTGTCCTGGGATTGTGAGTACCATTTAAATTTGTTAAGTGATTAAGTATATTAATTCCATGTAAACAGCTTAGAGAGGTTCATGGCACAGAGTAACTGTTCCAGTCATTACATTTGATATTAAATTATTTTGTTCTTTTATTTTCTATGGAAGAACATGTGTTCCTTCTGAAATAAGAAAAAGTTGTGGTTTTCTGTTTGTTTGTTTTTGGAGTACAAAGGTTTTCTTCTTCATGGAACACACAGAGGACCTCCTATAGAGGTTCAGAAACAAACCAAACTGCTTAATCTGAGCTGAGCCCACCTGAGCCTTTTTCTTCAGAAGAAACATTTGCTCCAAACCCTTGCATTTTCTCTGCCAACATCCCCTAGATCCAGGTTCAGGACAGGATGCAGTGCCCACAGCCAACATGCCCTTTGCTCCTCAATGATGGGACAAGAAAGGTGAGGGATTACAGGCCAGAAAACAGGATAATTCAGCACAGAGTGGACAGTCGTATTTGGGAGGAGGCAGAGATCCTTGTATTTCAACCTTAAATTGGATTTCTACAGGCGCCATTTTGTGTCCATGTGGGATTCCTAGCGCTTCCTGGAATCAGCTGCCAGGAAAGATAGATGCTCTAACTCTTGCAGAACAGACTTCCAGGCCTCATGCTCTGACAAGATCCATCCTCTGACAAGCTAATCTTCTGCCCTCAGGACTCCCTCACCTTCAGTGATATTTGCATGTTCCTCTCTGGAGCTCTCTTGGGCTTCTCTTGGCTTTACACACCATTCACCTTAAAATTCCTCCCCTCACCCATTTCTCCTTGGCCTATTTGGGGTGCCTGAAACAATGGGAAAATTTAGGGCAGTAGGCCAAGATCCCTCCAATACCACCCCAGAGGTGACACCCACTCTACCATGAATGGGTGATGAATTAGCTTTACCCTGTGGTGATATCATAACCCCTGGGGTTCAGCCAAAACACACAGGTTGTTACATCAAGTTTTTTAAAAGACAGTTAATGATAAACTTAACAGGAAAATTTGAATAAGCAGGATGTTTAGAGATTGAAAAAGTAGCAAAGGACAGGGCACTAGGGCACCACTCTCATCAGACTCTGCATCGGACTTCAACTCTTCTCAGAAGGTAACTCTGTGAAACTTGGAGAGAATGTTTCACTAATCAGTTATTTCCTAATCCAAAAGAGGCTTGAAAATTTGCCTACCTGTTTCAGCCCGGTATGGATAAATTGTCACACGACCAGATATGGCTTCTGTTCCAGGGTTAACGTATTTCAGAATAACACGAAACAAAGAGTGACTTGACTTCCCCACATTAAGCATGATCCTCACTTCATTCTGAAAAACACCAAAACGCCAAGAGACAACTGGCTAAAAGTGTCTAACTAGGGGACCAGTGTCCACTAGAGAAACCTGGATAGAGTGTAGTCAATGCTTGCCAAACAGTGACTACACTCGATTCAGGTCTCACTAGTGGACCTGTAATGTATACACATGCCCACTCTCTCTCTCACTCACTCACTCTCCCACTCAGCAAGCACCAAATAACTAACTCTGTAGAAGATGAAAATAGGCAGACCCAGCGATAAATTAAAAAACACTTAAAGTTATAGTGAAAACCTGTTTCCTCAGCAACTGGGATCCCCTTTGGACCCTTCTGGAATCAGGCAGACAGAGTGAATATAAGCTCGACTAGTGTAAGGAAAGCCATAGTGACAGGGGCAACCATCAGTTGGGAGAAACAAAGAGGCAGAAGAGAAGGAAAGGGCAGTGTTATTGGACACCACCACCCCTGTAGAGGGACAGCTCCGGGGTCCGATTCACATACCTAAAATTCTAAATGGTCACAGAAACGTACGTTGGCTAAGTAAAGGTTAAAATACTCCAAACACATTAGTGATAAAATCTAGATGTAACTAAAATATGTCCAAGTCATATGGAATTGTTCTCAGTCTCTATCCAAAGAGAACGTAGGCTTTTTTAAAAAATTATTTTATTTTTTTTCATTGTGATGAGTGTACTCTTTCAACTCTATTTCACCCACCCCCTTCACTGACCTCCCCTCTGGTAACCACCAGTTTGTTCTTTATAGTTATGAGGCTGTTTCTTGGTTTCTCTCTCTCTCTCTCTCTCTCCTTTGTTTCCTTTGCTTATTTGCTTTGTTTCTTAAATCCCACATATAAGTGACATCATATGGTATTTGTCATTCTCTGTCTTATTTTGCTTAGTATTCAACTCTCTAGATTCACCCACATTGTTACAAATGACAAGATTTCATTCTTTTTTATGACTGAGTAATATTCCATTCCAATGATAAAGGGGACAATCCTACAGAAGGATGTAACAATTGTAAATATTTATGCACCCAATATGGGAGTATGCAAATAAATGAAACAGTTATTAACAAGCACAGAGGAAATAATCAATAGTAATACAGTAATTGGGGACTTTAACACACCATTTACATTGATGAACAGATAATCCAAATAGAAAATCAACAAGGAAACAGTGGTTTTGAATGACACCCTAGACCGGATGGATTTAATAGACATATTCAGAACATTCCACCCTAAAACAGCAGAATACACATTCTTTTCAAGTGCACATAGAGCAGTCTCCAGAACAGATCACATTATCAGGCCACAACTCAAGCCTCAACAAATTCAAAAAGATCAAAGTCATACCATGCACCTTTTCTGACCACAGCATTATGAAACTAGAGAGCAACCACCAGAAAATATCTGGAAAGAACACAAATACATGGAGGTTAACTAACATGCTACTAAACAATGAGTGGGTCACTCAAGAAATCAAAAAAGAAATAAAATATTACATGGAGACAAAAGAAAATAAAAATACAAAGTTCCAAAATCTTTGGGATCCAGCAAAAGCTGTTCTAAGAAGAAAGCTTACAGCAACACAGGCCTACGTCAAGAGGCAAGAAAAATCTCCAATAAACAACCTAATGTTACACCTAAAGAAGCTAGAAAAAGAAAAACAAACAAAACCCAAACCCAGCAAAAGGAAGGAAATACTAAAGATCAGAGCAGAAATAAATGATACGGAAACTAAACAAACAAACAAACAAACAAAAAACAAAAAAATAATCGAACAGACCAATGAAACCAGGAGCTGATTTTTTTTAAAAGATCAACAAAATTGGTTAACTCTCTAGCCAGACTCATCAAAAAATAAGAGAGGGAAAGAGCCCAATAAACAAAATCACTAACAAAAGAGAAGTAACAACAAACACAACAGAAATACAAACAGTTGTAACAGAATGTTGTGAAAAACGATATACCAACAAATTGGGCAGCTTAGAGGAAATGGATAAATTCCTAGAAACATAACCTACCAAAATGAAAGCAGGAATAGAAATTTTGAACAAATTGCTAGCAATAAAACTGAATCGGTAATCAAAAACCCCCCAAAAGCTAAAGTCTATAGGACCAGACAGCTTCACAGGCGAATTCTACCAAACATTTCAAGAACAGTTAATACCTATGCTTCTCAAACTATTCCAAAATATAGAAGAGGAAGGAAAACTTCCAAATGCATCCTATGAGGCCAGTATCACCCTGACCCTAAAACCAGATAAAACACTACAAAAAGAAAACTCCATCTCTGATGTAGTTATCTCAATATCTCAATATCTCTGATGAACAGAGATGCAAAAATCTTCATTAAAATATTAGCAAACAGAATCCAACAGTACATTTAAAAAAATCATTCAGCATGATCAAGTAGGATTTATTCCTGGGCTGCAAGGGGGGTTCAATATTTGCAAATCAGTCAATGTGATATGTCACATCAATATGATCCTTTCAATAGATGCAGTAGAAGTATTTGACAAGGTACAACATCCACCCATGATAAAAACCATCTGCATAGTAGGTCTGGAGGGAACACATCTCAACATAATAAAGGCTTTATTTGAAAAACAGTCAACATCATATTCAATGGTGAAAAACTGAGAGCCTTTCCCTTAAGGTCAGAATAAGACAAGGATGTCCACTCTCACCACTTTTATTCAGCATAGCACTGGAAGTCCTAGCCACGCTAATCAGATAACCCAAAGAAATAAAAGGCATCCAAATCGGCAAGGGAGAAATAAAACTCTATTTACAAATGACGTGATAACATATATAGAAAACCCTAAAGACTGCACTCAACGTGGGCTTTTTAACTTGACAGAATCCATCTCTAAGGGTTAGTTCCATATTGGAAAATAAAAATGCAAAAATGTATAAGGAGCAAAGTTAGGGGTGATTTGGCAGAGAAACTCCGTCATTTGAAATTCATTTCCTTTGCAGGGCGCCTGGGTGGCTCAGTCAGTTGAGTGTCTGCCTCTGGCTCAGGTCATGATCCCAGAGCCCTGGGAGCCAGCCCCGTGTCACATTCCCTGCTCAACAGAGAGCCTGCTTCTCCCTCTCCCTCTGCCCCTCCCCACCACTCGTTTTCTCTCTCCCTCTGTCAAATAAATAAATAAAATCTCAAAAAAAAAAAAATTCATTTCCTTTGTGTTAACTAGTCATTCTTTCAAACTGTAAACACTGGGAGAAGGTATCCACCTTGACTGGAATCTCAGTCACTCACATCCTATTCTGACTTAATGGACTCCACTGCTTTTTTCTGAATCACGAAGATTGGAATACTAACGAAACTGAATTTTATATTGGGGAAAAGGAGAAAGAAGTGAGGTCTTATGATCTTACGTACTGTTGGGGCGCCTGGGTGACTCAGTCAGTTAGACATCCGACTCTTGGTCTCAGGGCTGTCAGACTGAGCCCTGAGCTGGGCTCCATGCACAGCACAGAGCCTGCTTGAAATTCTCTCTCTCTCTCTCTCCTTCTCCCTCCCCCCCTCCCTTCCCACTCAAGTGCACTCTCTCTGTCTCTCTCTAAAATAAATAAATTTTTTAAAAAATGGATCCTAGGCACTGTTTGAGAAAGGATCCTGATGAGGGACCCTGATCAGGCAAGAAGCAACTTTAGAACCAATGATGGCTCCAAGAGAACTGTGACCCTGTCCCTGTTCCTCTAAGGGGTGACTTATGTAAACATAACAAGTATAGGATCTGCTAAGGACAAATATTGGGTCACCATGGTCATCAATTTACACCTTATGTTCTGAATTTCTCCACTGAGAAACACAATTTCAAGAGAACAACCTCAAAGAGAAATCCTGAGAACAAAACTTTTCAGAAATTCTTGGTTGTAAATATTGCATAAGCTCTAAATGAGAAAATATGTAATTGTAATGACAAAATTTGTAAATTCCCTAACTATTCCAACAGGAAACCAAGAGCAATGGATACTGTAGAGAAGAATGAAGGAAAGGAAAATGAAATAGCATTAAATTCCTCATTGATCTTAGTTTCTATTCATAGAGTAATTCAGAGTTTAAAAAAGCAAAGCAAAACAAAACAAAACAACCAGCATCTGAGGGTTTTGAAGGGGCGGGGGATGGGAAGTTGGGGGAACCAGGTGGTGGGTATTAGGGAGGGCACGGATTGCATGGAGCACTGGGTGTGGTACAAAAAACAATGAATACTGTTACACTGAAAAGAAATAAAAAATTTAAAAAAACAAAACAACAACAACAAAAAACAACAACCAGTGCTGGTCAAATATCAACCACACACACTATTGGAATTATTTAATCCAATTCATTTTTATTCTCTACAAATATTTTTAAAGAACCTTGTCTCTTATGCTAAAATATAGATGAATCCCACTTGGAAAACAACTGCTTATAAAAAAAATCTCTAGAGTTAAACACTAGTTTTCTTTAACCCCTTCTTTGTCTGATTTGGTGACCAAATTAAATTAACAGTAAACTGTGACTGATACATATACTTTTCAGTTAAAATCCAATATTACCCCAAGCCCTATCCATAGTCTGGAGAAAGAGAATCCTGGAGTCAGTTTTGGGGACAGCTTACCTTTTGGGAAGACTCACTGAGAGTCTTTTGGCTACATATATGCCTCACCCTGCCACAAAGCAATATCTGCTGGCTACATACCTGCACCAAGGTCATCTGAGCATATCCTCTCCAACTGAACTCAGGGAACTCCAGGGGATCAAATCCAAACCTAAGTTCTCTTCCATTAGGTGTGGTACCATCTTCAATCTCATACTTCATATGATGTAAATCCGGGAAATAGTAGTTGTTCTCAGGGCTTTTGCAAATAAAACATGGATACAGCAAGTTATGTTCACCAATAATCCTAACAGTCTTTAATCTCAATAGCTACTGTGAAAACTCCTACCAAATTGACAGGATACAATAAATGAAAAGAAATAAAAGAGAACTCCCCCTGCTTTTTCTTTAAATTATTGCTTTCATTCATGCAAACACTCATAAAACACACCCAACGCCTATCGGTCTAAGCAATAAAATGAGAAACTCACTTAGCACAACCCATAATGGTGGCAACCTTTAATATGTTCCAAATGGTTGCCAACAACTTACCAAAATCAAATTAGGTTATTTACTATAAATCCACCCATCCGTCCATCTATTCATTCATTTATGTACTCATATTCACTTATTATACAAATATTAATATATATATATATATGCACCAGACACTGTTGTTAAGTACCATATATGCAATAGTGAATGTGATATAAAATATTTTATATGTTAAGTTTACAAGTTAGATACATTTATGTATATATATTTAATATATTCAAATATATTATATTTATTTATTTTTTATTTTATTTATTTATATTTATTTATATTTATATATTTAATATATTCAAATATATTATATATTTATATATTCAAATATAATATATTTGATATATTATATCAAATTATATATGTAATATATATAATATATTTAAATATATTAAATATATTATATATAATTATATAATTATATATAATAAATATATAAATAATATTTATTATTTATTATTTATTGTTATAATATAATAAAATATATAATATATATTCAAATATATTATATATTACATATATAATTTGATATGATAAATATTATATATAATATATATTTAATAATTTATTAAAATATCAATTTAATGTTTAAAATATATTAAATAATATTTTTACAATTTTAATATATTTTAAATATATTATATATTTGTATATGATATAAATAATACTTAATATATTAAATATATATAAATGTATCTAACGTGTAGACTTGTAAAAATATATTTATATATAAATATATGTATAATATATTTAATATATTAAATATATGTATTAAACTATATATATACAGTTTAATCATTATGATGACTTTTTTATGCCTTGAATTTTCTTAAACCATAGGTCTATATATGGATTCTTTTCAAGAGTCCAATAATGGCAATCCCAGAGAATGATCAGAAACACTACACTGTTTATGTGACATTTGACAATCAAATAATTTGAAGTTCTTCAAAGCGACATATTTTGACAATCCAGTAACAAACTAACAGCAGTTAGTGGATTTAAAGCCATAAAAATCATTTAGTCAAAGGAAATAAAAGGTCATGGCCCTACATTACAAGCAGAATTACAAATGCTTACAATTTCTCTGGAAGTGATATACAAAGGTCCTTAAAAATGTTCTTACCCATTGACCCAGTAATTCTACTTCCAGGAATGTATTCTAAAGAACAATTTTATATATAGTGTCAAAAAATTAACATAAAAGAACATTTATAATAGTGAAAGCTTAGAAACAATGTAAATGTACAATTATGAAATAATTTAAAAATTATGAAATACTATGTAACCATTAATATTTCTGAAGACTAATGATAATGGAAAATATCTGCAATATCATGTGAAGTGAAGAAATGGATACAAATTTTATGAAGCAAATATACTGATTTGTATTCATAGAAAAAGCCTAGAAAAAAATATACAAAAAAATATTAAAAGGAGTTATTTCTGGGTGGTGGAATAGGTAGGTCTTTTTTTCCTTTTATTTTTAGGTACTTACTAAAACTTTACAATGAACATATATTTATTACCACAAAAATTATTTGGAAAACAAAGTGAAAGTGAATGCCTTCTAAACTTGTAAGAAAAATGAACAATGTTCAGATAATATAAAAAACAAATATTTGGCAGGAATTTAGTACAAAAAGACAAAATGTTTACCAACCCTGAGAAAAGCCAGTATGGCATCTTTGATGCTGGTTTGCGATCCTTATAACCTAGTTACAACTTACCACTAAATCAAAGGACATGTCCTAAATTTCATATGTACGTATTGGCTGTAATGTAAAAAAATCAGTATTTTTGCCTCGGGGTGGGTAACTTAATTCTTACTCGGTTGCATTATTTTTACCTGAAAAATAGCCAATTGCCTACATTGGTGGAAGGAAACTTAGCTGGTTAAGTGGGGGAAAGCTCACTTTATCAACAGGGAGGTGGAAAAAAGATAAAACATGGGTGGAAAATGTTTCTGAACCTATTTACAAAATTCCTCTGGTCCGTCATGTGCCTCATTAGTCTGCAGGGAAACATACCCACAGATGTGTCCTCCTCCTTCACAGACCCTTTATTATGCGACCCAGCAGTGACTGCCATTTAGAAATGACTGAAGAAAGCTCAGCTGGATTGCTCTGACTTTTAGAATTCAAATGCTGAAAACATCAAGGGAAAGGAGAGAAATGTTGTACTAATGAAATACAGAAAATTTACTTTAACTATTTCTTCATTATTTCTTTATTATTCTATTGATAATGCAGATTTCTTCATTATTTCTTCATTATTCTATTGATAATGCAGAAGCAGTGAAGATACTTGCAATTTAGAAGTTGCATTTCATAGTTTCCAGTGTATGATTATATGCCAGAATATTAAAAATTAGTTTTTTCTTTCAAGAGAAAATTATCAGCGTTTCCAAAAAAATCTATATTGATCTAGCAGACATGTTCAGGACATTCTAGCCTAAAACAGCAGAATACACATTCTTTTCAAGTACATAGAACAGTCTCCAGAACAGATCACATATCAGGCCACAACTCAAGCCTCAACAAATTCAAAAAGATCAAAGTCATACCATGCACCTTTTCTGACCACAGCACTATGAAACTAGAGAGCAACCACCAGAAAATATCTGGAAAGAACACAAATACATGGAGGTTAAATAACATGCTATTAAAGAATGAATGGGTCACTTAAGAAATCAAAGAAGAAATAAAATATTACATGGAGACAAAAGAAAATAAAACACCAAGTTCCAAAATCTTTGGGATCCAGCAAAAGCTGTTCTAGGAAGGAAGCTTACAGCAACACAGGCCTACCTCAAGAGGCAAGAAAAATCTCCAATAAACAACCTAATGCTACACCTAAAGAAGCTAGAAAAAGGAGAACAAACAAAACCCAAACCCAACAAAAGGAAGGAAATGCTGAAGATCAGAACAGAAATAAATGAAATAGAAACAAAAATACCAACAGGACAGAAAACGAAACCAGGAGCTGGTTCTTTGAAAAGAGCAATGAAACTGATCAACCTTAAACAGAATCACTGGAAAGAGAGACAGAGTCAAATAAACAAAATCAGAAATCAAAGAGGAGAAAAAAGAGGAGAAAAACAACCAACACCACTGAAATATAAAGGATTATATGAGAATATTGTGAAAAATCATATGCCAAAAAACTGGACAACCTAGAAGAAATGGATACATTCCTAGAAACATATAACCTCTTAAAACAGAACCAGGAGGAAATAGAAAATTTGAACAGATTGATTACCAGCAATGAAACTGAATCAGTAATCAAAGTAAACTCCCAACAAAGAAAAGTCCAGGACCAGATGAATTCACAGATGAAGTCTACCAAACATTTAAAGAAGAGTTAATACCTATTCTCAAACCATTCCAAAAAAGGAAAGCTTTCAAATTCATTCTATGAATTCAGCATTACCCTGATACAAAAACCAGGTAAAGAAACTAGACACACACACACACACACAGATATAACCATAAGCCAAGATCTCTGATGAACATTGATGCAAAAATCCTCAATAAAATATTAGCGAACAGAATCCGACAATACATTAAAACAGCCATTCAGCACAATCAAGTGGGATTTATTCCTGGGATGCGAAGGTGGTTCAATATTTGCAAATCAATCAATGTGATAAATCACATCAACAACAGAAAGGATAAAAACCATATCATCATTTCAACAGATGCAGAAAAAACATCTGACAAAGTAGGACATTCACTCATGATAAAAAATTTTAACAGAGCAGGTTTACATGGAACATACCTCAACATAATAAAGGCCTCATATGAAAAACCCAAAGCAAACATCATACTCAATGGAGAAAAACACTTTCTCCCTAAGCTCAGGAAAAAGACAAGGATGTCCACTCTTACTAGTTTTATTCAACATAGCACTGGAAGTCCTAGCTACAGCAATCAGACAACAAAATGGACTAAAAGGCATCCACATTTGTAAGGAAGAGGTAAAAACTTTCACTATTTGCAGATGACATGGTACTATACATAGAAACCCCAAAAAACTTCACTCAAAACTACTAGAACTAGTAAATGAATTTGGTAAAGTTGCACTGCATTTCTATAGACTAATAATGAAGTAGCAGAAATTAAACAGAAATTAAAATAGTCCCATACGTAATTACACCAAAAATAATAAAGTATGTAGGAATAACCTTAACCAGAGAGATAAAGACCTGTACTCTGAAAACTAGAAAACATTGATGAAAGAAACTGAAGAGGACACAGAGAAATGGAAGACATTCCATGCCCATCGATTGAAAAAACAAATACTATTAAAATGTCCGTATTACCCAAAGCAACCTACACATTTAAGGCAATCCCTATCAAAATACCAACAGTATTTTTCACAAAACGAAAACAAATAATCCTAAAATGTGTATGGAACCACAAAAGACCCCAAATTGCCAAAGCAATCTTAAAAAAGAACAAAACTGGAGGTATCATGATCCGAGATTTCAACATACACTACAAAGGTGTAGTCATCAAAAACACTGGTACTGGCACAAAAACAGACACATAGATCAACAGAACATAATAGAGAGCCCAGAAATAAACCCACAATTATGTGGTCAATTAGTCTTCAACAAAGGAGGCAAGAATACGCAATGGGGAAAAATTCTCTAACAAACGGTGTTGGGGAAACAGGACACCTACATGCAAAAGAATGAAACTGGACCACTTTCTTACACCATATACAAAAATAAACTCAAAATGGATTAAGGGCCTAAATGTGAGACCTGAAACCATCAAAATCCTTGAAGAGGGCACAGACAGTAATTTCTCTGACATTGGCCATAGCAATTTGTCTAGACATGTCTCCTGAGGCAAGGGAAACAAAAGCCAAAATAAACTACTGGGACTACATCAAAATAAAACGCTTCTGCAAGGCAGAGGAAGCAATCAACGAAACTAACATTCAACCTGTGGAATGGGAGAAGCTATTGGAAAATAATGTATCTTATCAACGGCTAGCATCCAAAATTTATAAATAACTTATACAACTCCACACCAAAAAAACCCACATAATCCAATTTACAAATAGGAAGAAGAGATGAACAGATATTCCTCCAAAGAAGACCTGCAGACAGCCAACAGACACATGAAAAGATGCTCAACATCACTCATCACTAGGAAAATGCAAATCAAAACCACAACGAGAAGCACACCTGTTAGAATGGCTAAAATCAGCAACATAAGAAGCAACAGGTGTTGGCCAGGATGTGGAGAAAAAGGAACCGTCTGGTACTGTTGGTGGGAAAACTGGAGCTGCCACTATGGAAAATAGTATGGGGGTTCCTTGAAAAATTCAAAATAGAATTACCATATAAGCCAGTAATTCCACTTCTGGCTATTTATTCCCAAAATAGGAAAATATTAACCTGAAAAGACACATGCACCCCCAAGTTTATAGCAGCATTACTTATAATAGACAAGTGATGGAAGCAGCCCAAGTGCCCATCGATAGATGAACAGATAAAAATGTGGTATGTGTATATGTATATGATCAATATTATTCAGCCATTAAAAAAAAAGAATGAAATTTTGCCATTTGCTACAACGTGGATAGATCTGGAGGATAAGATACAACACTAAGTGAAATAAGTCAGTCAGAAAAAGATAAATACTGTATGATTTTATATATATGTGGAATTTAAAAAACAAAACCAATAAACAAAGGAAAAAGAGACAAACTAAAAAACAAACAAACAAACAAAAACCCCCCAAACAACAGACTCTTAACTACAGAGAAGAAACTGGTGGTGGTCAGAGGGGAGATGAGCGGGGGATGGGTAAAATAGGTGAAAGAGATGAAGAGTGAACTTATCATGACGAGCAGAGTAATGTATAAGATTGTTCAATCACTGTATTTTACATCTGAAACTCATGTAACATTGTATGTTAATTATACTGGAATTGAAATCTTTTTTAAAATCTAGAAATTGTTAAATATGACATGACACGGAGACAGGAAGCGGCTGTCCCTGTGACAGCTCCTCCGGGAGCTCAGCTCCACTCACTCCCCTGCTCCTACAGTTCATTTTAATTAGCTTCTGCAGGAGATGAGGGACTTCATCCGGCTTCTAGAGCTTTCTTCGCCTTCCCTCCCACCGCATCCAGTGTAACACATGCGGCCCCTCCATGCCTTCAGTCACGGGTCCCAAGGGAGAAGCTGAGCCTGAAACAACTGGGCCCGGGAGCCTACCCATTGCTAGGCCCCTCCCAGCTGTGACTTTCACACAGAGGTTCGGCCACGGGAACCCCCTCAAGCGTCCAGCTCTAGTCCTGTCCACCTGGCTTTTAGTACCTGTGGGAACTTTCCAGGGAGGCGGATGTCTTTAGGGCAACTGTACCTCCTGCTTTAACTGGGCCCACTGACCAGTGTCCAGATCGCCCAGGACAGTACATCTTCCTCTGCCCTCTCGTCTCTTCACCAGAACTCTCAGCACAGCCAGGACTCTGCGAGTTTTCTAGCACAGCAGTACAGGAAGGGCCCGCCCTGGAGACTCACCGCTGGCACGCCGTCCCCACGACATGCTCTCGGCAACGGCATCCTCCCGAGGGTCCGCTGCACAGGGGGCTGATGGCTCCACCAACATCACACTGACACCCTGAAGGTCAGAGAATGACAGCAGTGACCCATCCAAGCATCTCCATGTAGAAATGGAGAAGCAGAAACCAGTAAGGACGGGGCTGCTTCATACTCCTGCCACATCTCATAGCCTGCGGATGTTAGAAATACGTAGTGACCTCCCGGAGCGACATGGGAGGTGCCCCCCAAGGCCCACATGTGAGCTGGAGGTGCTCTTGGAGGTCAGCCCCAACATGCTGTCCAGCACAAGGGGCCAGAAGCCCAGGAGCAAACCACGATTTAGCAGGTGGCGCTCTCGTAACCAACATCTTCTACAGAGAGTCTGTGGGGAGGAGGCAACAGCAGCCTTGTGGGGCCACACGCCTGCAGGTGTATTTAACACAGCGTTAGCTCTAAGATCTGGTGCGAGCTGATCTGATAATACAAAATACATCTTCCAAATGACTGTCTTGACGTTATTTACGAAACTAACAGACGCCTCCCCCTCCATCCCAATGATGTTTTCTCTAATTAAACCAACAATGTGCTGGGAGAAGAGAAATAGAGGCAGCCCCAACTACAGTTTATTATTCATCTCAACTGAGTATTTGGCCAAACTCCCTGGAACAGAATTTTTTAGTCCCATCCCATCAGAAAGACTGCATGAAGACAAGGGAACTCAGAAGAGAGGTTCTCCTGCCGGTCTTTGCCCATCAACACTGACCTTCCTCAGGACCCAGTGGAACTATTTACCTTGACACCCAAAGTAATTGCTCTTTTCCAAAGCAAAATACCCATCTTCACACGTGTCACAGGAATCGCCACTGACGTGGGACTTGCAGTGACAGTCACCATCTTGCTGCAGAATAAGCCGGATGACAAAGTTTGGTAAGATTGCCCAATTTGCTAGTCTTCAAGATTTAAAACTGACTCGCTGTATTATAACATGAAGCAGTTAGTGAGGGTCTGAAAATGTCCAGGGAAGTTAGCATGCCCCCTACAATCACAGAGGCACTAACCCCCTCCCACAGACACCCCAATATCCTCTGCTCCAACACGCACTGGTTTAGGGACAATGGGCCATGTTACCTGTCCACACTCTCCGATTCCGCTCACTGTTCCCGCCACGTGGCACTGGCATTCTGTGAAGAGAAAAGAGCATCCTTGGACCAAGGCTGCTGGAAATGTGACACAGCAGCCATGCGGCATGTGTGGTCCCTGTCAGGTAAACCTCACCAGAATTCCGGTTTGCTCCACTGAAGCCTAAAATGGGACAGCTTTCTGGGGTCAGCGGAACCACCAGATCAACAGCACCCACGTATAAGGACTAATGGCTACTTTATGACCACTCTAAGACAAAGGTTGCAACAGCATGGGATTTTTAAATGATTCTAATGTCAAGGTCATTACTGATATGCTTACATGAAAACATACTCGAGGGGCACCTGGGACACTCAGCCGGTTAATTGTCAGCTTTTGGCTCAGGTCATGATCCTGGGGTCCTGGGATCAAGCCCCACATCGAGCCCCACGTCAGGCTCCCTGCTCAGTGGGGAGTCCGGTTCTACTTCTCCCTCTGCCCCTCCCCTCTGCTCGTGCGCTCGCACTCTCTCTCTCAAATAAATAAAATCTTAACAAAGAAAAGAAAAGAAAAGAAAAGAAAAGAAAGAAAGAAAGAAAGAAGGAAAGAAAGACATTCTACTTAAGGACATATCCACTCCACTTAGCCACCTTTAGCTTGGCTTCAATCTAAGCATAAAATGAAAATAAAACCAAACCCGAAAGGGCGGTATAAAAAAGAAGACAGTATAAACCACTTATCAAGTAGCTGCCTTTGCAAACACCAAAATACATATGGAAACGGGATATAAATCCCTTGCTGAGATTTTCAAAATGACAAAAGTTCTGCCAAAAGCAGGGGAAAAAAACATCAAAACATTTACACAAAATTTCAGACAAATTGAACTTATTAAATAAATAGCTCTTCCATGGGTTTAGTCACTGAAGTAGGGAAAATTAAGAAGAATTTGCAATATCATAAATTATTATGTGTAAAAATTTCACCTGAACATCCATTGGGGTTTTCTTTGGCCAGATTCCAATATAATGGTTTGCAGATGCTACAAGAAGGACTTTCCACATGAGCCTTGCATTGGCAATATCCCTTTGAAAGAAAAGCAAACTAACACTTGACATCTCAAAATTAAGACATGTTTTCAAACATATGTTCTGAACAAAGCTTGTCACAGAATTATATTTTGGATAAGTATTTAAGTGTAACCAGAGAGGAAAAAAGTACTGTGTTGATTTCAACAGACAGCTCAAGGCTTTTGTTTTATTCTTCACTTATTTTTTTCTACACATAATCCATATTTGTGGTTAAAACAAAATGGGACATTTTCATTTTTCATTTCTGATGTTTCAGAAACAGAAACATTTAAAAATCACTTTTACTGTTAACACTGTCTTATCTGTTGATTCTGGGACAGCAAGAACTACTCCTTTAAATGGAAAAGTATTTGAAAATTTAACATGTTGAGGATCAGTAGACAAGGATGTTTATCTGAAAGTACTTTTGTAGGATGCAAGGGTCACTCTCTCACTGTTAGGAGGCAGAACCTCTCTTCCTCTGTCCCTTGAATGCCTGGAGGGCCACCACCTCCAGGCTTGGAAGCTAAGAAGACAGATCATTTCTAAAGCACTTAGAAACCTCATCAGAATACCATGGTATTCACAATATCACATACGCACTTTGAACAAGAACAATGACCTCTTTCACAATTTGGCTTTGGGTCTTATTTGAATTTACTTTTAATTTTGGGATGCTCCCCCGTGCGTTAGTCTCTAATATGTATCCAAATACATCAGTTAGAATTGTATCCCTGGGGCACCTGGGTGGCTCAGTGGGTTAAGTCTCTGCCTTTGGCTCAGGTCATGGTCTCAGAGTCCTGGGATCAAGGTCCACATCAGGCTCTCTGCTCATCAGGAAGCCTGCTTCACCCTCTCTCCCTGCCTGCCTCTCTGCCTACCTGTGATCTCTCTCTCTCTTTGTAAATTTTTTTTTAAAATTTTAAATTAAAAAAAAAAAAAGAATTGTATCCCTTTTATAATCCTCTACTTACCAAATTGGAGTCCAGGGTACCGGCTGGGTCACAGCGACCTGTGAAGTCTGAACATGATTTAGAAATATTTTAAATGCCTACTGTTTTTATGTCTGTCTCTTGGTTTGCTTTGATGTTTCACATTTTAAAAAGTTTTATTTGTTTTCAAAAACAATGCACCTACATTTGTATTTCTTGATAGATGGGTGGCAAGGATTTTGCGTGTAATTCAGAAAAAGGCACACCCTGAATAACCCTTAGGGTCTTTAATCCCCAAATCACCCCCTTTGGCCACTTAACTCCATCCCCTGCCTAGTACTATGAAGTTCATTTCGGACTGAGGATGAAGGAGATGGGGGAAAGGACACTCCAGAATTTTGAACATCTTTAGGACTGTCCAGAAGAGGGCGATATCATACCAAGAAACTTTTTAATCGTCCAGTGAATAGAAGCTACAGGATTTGGTAAGCACAATTTTTTTAGTCAACCAAGACTTAATTCCTTAATTATCACAATCCTCTTGTTCCCCACCTGTACTAAAATTATTTCTACAATGAATTAGTTTGTTCTCCTACCTTAGTCAATATGGTATTACGAGCCCAAGAGAATCTCTCTTCGACACAGTGGAATCCTGCAATGTCTCAGCATTCCCATTCTAACAGCAGTATGACGGTTAGAAAGGAAGGGGGTTTGGGTAAGCCTGCCCGAGCCTGGTTTTTCCAATAATTTAAATAACCTCATAAAGGGATCTTGTTTTCTTATAAGTTATTGTGTAGACATTTTGCCTTTGTCGCCTCTGTTTTCAGCTTGTCCCTTGATGATTGCACTTGTCTCTCCTTCTCTGTTTGGATGTTCCCTCACATTCTTTCTTCTGTAAGAGTGAACACATCCTTCCACCTCTTTACTGTTTTTCAACCTGGCCATGCCCGGCCTCTGGCTCCTGCCCAGGCTGACCACTGTGGCCATCTGGCTCTAGAGGAATAATGGTGGCTGTCCCAGCCCTCTGTCCAGAAGCCACCATGCTTCCTTCCTCTCCTGACCCCCTGGAGGTGAGCGGACACACCCGGGACAGCCCTGCACCCTGGGGACCTTTGAGCCTTCTCGAAAGCCAACTGCCCCTCTGAACACTGGCTACAATTTCTACAAGCAAGAAAACCCGGTGTCTTGAGGATTCTGGTGAGTCAGATTCTGGGCAATCAGGTAGGCGCTGTGGCCCTGTCTTCAAACAGCTGGGAATGCAGAGCACAGAGTGCTCCCGAGAGTAGGAAGAAGTCAGAGAAAATCAAAACCTCCAAGCGGAAAGTCCGCTGCAGCCTTCCTCAAATACCTCTTCTCAACAGGGAAAGGGGCCGCTAGAGCCACTGCCGGAGACCCTTGCCACTAGAGGCTACAAGCCCCCAGGAGCGTGGGGAGATGCGACCGATGGGCAGCTTATTTCTGGGCCCCCTGCCACAGAGCATGGCAGAGTCTCAGAGTCTCCCACTATCTGGGGGGGGAGGGGATGAGGGGATAAGTAGTGAGGATGGCCCAAGACAGTGACAGTGTTTCTCCCAGATTGACTCTAGGTCTCCCCCCTCCCCTGGCACCTGTGCTGTGGGAGAACAATGCCCCCAGGAGGCCAAGGGCAGCGAGGAGAGAGGGGCAGAAACACAGCATAGGTCCCGCTCTGCCCGCTAGCAAGGAGACCTGCTCGAGTCACCCCTTAGGGGATTACAGAGCAGTCAGCATCCGTGCTGTGAGCTTGGAACCAGAGAGAAGCCAGGATGCCTTGGGAAGAAGGAAGGGGTCAAGGAGCACTTGGTGTAGCTCAAAGGGGTCCCCTTGACCACACTGTTATACATAGGAATTGACATGCAAATCAAGAAATATAAATTTATAAGACAATAATTTAAAATTTTAATATTTTTAAAATAATTTAAAATAATTATTTAATATATTTAATTTAAATAATTTAAAATATTTTTTTAAGAATGAATCATTTCTGATTTCCTTTGAGGATGCGTTGTCTGATACGTGCATTTGCAATGGACTTGAACTGGGGAAGAACCAGGCCAATGAGGGTCAAGTGTGTCCAGGTGACGAGTGGTGGGTCATCTGGGCTTGTCTGGGAGTCTGGCTGGCTGTACACATTTCGGAGAGGGGCCCGCCCTCTGGTCTTCCCTACCTTGGCAGTGAGGGAAATCATAGGCTCCTGAGAGACACCTGTCACATCGCTGTCCTGTAACCCCTGGAAGGCATTCACACTGTCCCATCACCGGGTTGCAGGGCGTCTGGTAGGAGCCAAGGGCCGAACACTGGCAGGCTGGAGAAAAAGACATCAGTCAGACCCAGGGCAGCAGGGTGTGGGGCCTGGATAGAGCCCAGAGGTGGGTCAGGGAGACCCAAATGCAAATTCCCGCTATGTGGGGGTGGAGGTAATTAGGAAAAACACACATTCGATGACCTCGGAGAGCTCAAAATCCAGGAACAGGGCCAGGGAGCTACTGACACAGTACAAAGCACCTCCCCCACCCTCACACGCACCACTGCCAAGAAACGGTAAAAGAAATAAAGACACGTGGCCCAGTGCTACTCAGCCCACTCTTGGCAGACAGCAGGCCAAGGACTCCGATCTCCTACTGCCTTCTGGCTCAGCGTTCTTCCACGGCCCCTCGTTCCCTTGGGCCTGCCTGCGGAGGTCATGGCCCTACCAAGGGGCACATTACTGAGGAAACATTCTTGGGCTCTGGGAGGGTTAATTTTTATAATGCCAACACGGCTACACTATGAAGCTCAGACGTTTAGCCAGCAGCGATCTAGGTATTGCTGGGAAGGTTGGTTTTTTTAAAGATGTAATTAATATTTCAATCAGTTGACCTTGAATAGAGCCAGTCACCTTCCACAGTGAGGGAAAGACCTCATCCAATCAGTTGAAAGCCTTAAGAGAAAGACAGAGGGTCCCGAGGAAGAAGAAACCCTGCCCATGGGATCTGAGGTGCCACAACAATTCTTCCCTGGGTCTCCAGCCCACCAGCCTACCCTGCGGATTTTAGACACACCAGCCCCCACAATCATGCAAGCCAATTCCTTAAAATAAATCTCTCTCCATAGATACACACACACCTACATCCTACTGGTTCTGTTTCTCTGGAGAGTCCTGATTAACATAAGTTCTTTCTGCTATTTCTGTCTTAAAGGATAGCAAATGCAAAAAAAAAAAAAAAAAAAACAAAAAACACTGGCAGGCAGCTAGGGCCGCCCGGCGGAGACAGTTCCAACCAGCGTAATGTGGGGGACGTGGTGGCCCCTGACTCCTCGGGGCATAGAGGTTGTCTAGGGGGCCTCAGGAAACAGTTACCCTCCAGAGATGAAAACAAAGACCCAGCCTTAAAGGCACGTACGTTGTTTTAAAGCACGAACTACTCCATCTGGCATCACACGTCTCACTCCAAGCCAACCAGCAGTGACAGCTGCCAGATTCCAAACCCAAACCTCCGGATTCCAAACCCAAACCTCAACATTGGCAACCCCTCCTCCCTCTTGGAAATACTGTAATGTCCTGCAAACATTTTCATGCTACTCTTTGTGTTGGTCCCAGTCCTTTGACGTTTCTGGAGTATTTTTACCTCTCGTCTCCTCCTCGTTTCAGCTTTAACACAGACATTTTTATAAACTCCAAAGAGCATAAACACTAAGGACAGAAGAGCTCCAAAGGGACAAAGAGTGTGTCTGTTGTACTCCCCCGTGTCTTCCAGCATCACAGACAGCCCATTCCCAGTATACGCCAAATAGACACTTGCTCACTGAAAGAATAAGGAGCGACTAGAATCTTCCGTCCGCCCACCCTGTGCAGGTTCTTGGCATGCACTCCCTCACGGAGCCTTGCAGCACTGCCAAGAGACGGGTACTCTATGAGTAACGCCGTCCTCTTCTCCAATAGTTAATAAGCCCATTGGGTGAGGTGAGGCCCTACCAACACCATGCACGTCACAAGGTAAATGTTACTCCTTATTGCTTCCAGGACGCTGATACTGCCCATGACTTTGGAGCTTTGCCTTCTGTTGGAAAAGCAGGCTGGCACCTTCTCCAGCCAGAGCCACAAAGCCAACAGTCGGTAACACGGCACTTGCCCCCACCCCCACCTCTCAGGTTAACCTGGCCTAGAGCAGACTCAATCTACAGAAGATCCTCAGGGTTCTTCCAACCAACCCCCTCGATGTTCTCCTAGACAAAAACTGAACTCAAAGTGAAGGGCCAGTTCAAGACCCATTTGCACCGAAGATCTCTCAGACTTCCCCCTATGCCCAGCCCTAGGGTTTTGTCTCCCCTCTTGGAAAAGCGGGGTGGGGGTCTCCCAGGACTGTCCCGAGCCAGAAACCTTCCCTGAAGCGCCATCGTCATTAGCGGGGGCCGTTTGACCTCTTCTCTTGGCCGTTTTGTCTGATTCATGGGACTGTGCTGACAGGTAGAAAGAGGTTAATCTTGCTCTGGTGACCTTTTTCTGGTTTTGTAAGGAAAGACCTGTCACCACAACCCAAGGACTATAGCAAACTCCAACAGGGACAGTTCCTGGCCCCGGGTCAGGTGAGTGTTGTTGAGGCTGGGGAACAGCTGTACTTGGCCCCCCTTCAGTTCCTACTCATGGGAGAACCACTTGTCTCCACAGCCCACTCCCTCCTAGACGCTGTTCTAAGGGCTGACCAGGTGCTGCACCAGGGAAGGAGGGGAGAGGGAGGAGGAGAAACATGAAGAAGAGGAAAGCAGGAATGGAGGGGAGAGGAAAAGTGGGGGGTGAGTAGGAGGAGGAAAAGAGGGGAGTAATCCCCCAAATGACCAAGTTAACTGAATTAAAGTTATATGGTGTCATTGAGGATAAAGAGGTACACCAGATATCAAGGTAAACACAAGTTCTAAATACATATAGACAGTTCTCCACTGGGGTCTCCTATCTACGATTTGACTTTCACGTATGAAAAAGAAAACTGCAGGGCATTTGCGTGAGTGGAAACTAAAATGAGAAGAATACAGCATTGTACTTAGGGAAGTCTGGAGCAAATTAAGTTAATGTGAAACATGAATGCAGGATGCCGTTGGCAAGAACAACTTAGAAGTGTTTTAAAGTTTCTCCTCAAGAAGATTTTTTAAATCTTTGACACAATATAGGGCAAAGCCATAAGAACCTTTTTTTTTTTTTTTTTTTTTTTTGCTAGACTATACTGGACCATCTGATGTAGCATTTGGGGTCATGCTGATTTTATTCTAAAATTCAGTGGCCAAGCCATCAGTTTCGTCTTAAGAAAAAAAAAAAATCACAAATTAAAATACTGGGTTGGACGTCATTGCTAGACGAAGCTCAGATTTCAGTGAGTCTGAGCCTTGGGCACTAGCCTCAAAGCCACCCCCAAGGGAAAATCTTAAAAAGATCACAAAAGCTGTTGGAAAAAGGAAACAGCAAGAGAAGAGAGATTATCACAGACAGAATTCTTCCAGAACCTAGCAGTCCAAATGGAACACAAGCTTCAAGGTGCACGCCCACACCATGCCAGGAATACAGAGGATGGTGCTTCTCCTGCAAAACTTGAACAGTGGTGGTGGGCTCCTCTGGGGCTGGATGTGGTCTGGCAGGGTCCACTGAGACAGGACTTGAGGTGATCTGTTCTCCCTGACCCCGCTGCTTGAATTCCAAAGCCTGAGTTATGCTTTCTCCCGCAAGGGCACAATGCGCCTGTCCCTTTGACTCTGTGTGAGCCCTTCCTCCACTTGAGCCACGACTTTGAACCAGACAGAACCCAGCAGAGGCTGGCTACACACATTCACCCGGGAGGCCAGGGAGCACCTGCGGCTCTCCCCTGGCTCCTTTCTGCAGCCCCTCGGCACACCTTCTCAGTCTCGTGTTTCTGTGGTTTGCCTTTTGGCCCGTGAGCCCAGAGGACTTCATTCGGTTTTGGAAGCAGAGCTCTACACCAACTGTACCAAAAATATAAATGAGAAGATACCTTCTTATTTTTTTGAAAAATCCAGACTCTATCATTTAAACAAGGAACATTGCATTATGCACAGTGGCTGATTAAAGAGTTTTCATGTCAGGGACATCTCCTTAGGAAAAAAAGATGCTGCAGTTAAACCTCATGGGTCTTCCGAATCTCTTATAGGACTGGTCACTCTGGGGTTTTCTCGGAGAGCTGTGGATTTCAGCGACACACAGTTCCACCAGCCTGTTTGGTTACAGCATCCTGAGTCTGCGCGGGCGGGGCCGAGGGTGGGGGTGGGGCAGCTCTTCCCCTTACTCCACCCACGCTGTTCAGCCTGTGGACTTCACTGTGGTTCCCTGGATGTGGGGAGACTAGGGCTTGGCCAGTCAGAGCACGGCATTCCACGGCCACCGGCTGTGGTTCAGAAATGGGCACATGATTCAATCAGAACCAGACTTGGCCTGGAGGAGTGCATGCTCTTTTCCCTAGACTTGAACGTGGAAGAATGGACGTCCGTCTGCTCAGGCTGCTGTAACAAAATACCACAGACAAAGCAGCTTGAACAACAGATGTTTACTTTCTTGCTGTTCTAGAGGTTGGTTAGCCCAAGATCAAGGTGCCAGCAGACTTGAGATCTCTGGGTACTGTCTTCCTGGCTTTCAGACAGCTGTCTTCCTGCTGTGCCCTCACATGGCAGCGATAGTATATTTAAAAGCTCACAGGTGTCTCTTTTTAGAATGAAACTAATCCTATCAGATCAATTACTTACCTTAATTACTTTCTTACTCCAAATACAGTCACCTTGGAGGTTAGAGCTTCAACATATGAACTTAAAGGGCACTCAATTCAGTCTATAGCAACGAATGTCTGAGAAGTGTCAGCTACCATCTTACCACCACCTGAGACCTCAAAATGAAGCCAATCTACACAAGAACAGGCTTGCAAGATGGAGAAAAACAGACCCTGCCAACATCTTTTGAGCCCCTGGATCAACCTGTTCCTGAAACCAATGCTGCCTGAACTATTCAATTACAGCCAATAAATTCTTTGTGCCTTCAGTCGGTTCAGGTTACGTTTTCTGTCACATGAAACTATAGAGTCAAAATGGACTCTTCAATCACCAAGATGTTCTCTTTTTAAAAGTACTCTTACAAAATAGAGCTCTTACCAAAATGTATTCGGTATCTTCCATCCTCCTGAAATGTGTTTTCGGATATAATTTCACCGCTACATCATGACCGAGAGCCATTAATATGGTATTCATTTCCTGATTCTAACAGTGACATCCTCAGTACCTCCTGAGTTGAGGATGACTATCTGCTTCTCACCAAATGGTCCCAAGCAGTTACAC